GTTTTTTTCTGGATTGTTGAATGTTTTGCTACAGAAGGTACAACATACATTGACCGTGTTGGCATATCTGTCACTTCTAGCTCTGTGTCATATTGTACTGGCTTTCTTTCTTGTTGAGGTGGTGGAGTTTTATTGGGTTGCGGAGATGGGGACGATTGTGGCGTGTGGGCTGGTGGGCTGGTGGTGGTGGTGGTGTGGCTGATCTGTGGGCTTTTCTTTGTGGGACAATGCTTGGCTCCTGATGTATCAGGAGCCATGACGTGGGCTTTTTAAAAAATCAACACGTGTGTATTTTTTTTTTTTTTCCCCTCTTTCCTTTTTCCTCTTCCCCCAACCTTTTGGCTGGTTTTAACTGCAGCTCCCAAAGACACCGCCACCCCTGTTCCGAATCCACCCTCATCACCAACCTCGCCCTCTCCTAAAACCTCTCACTTTATCTTTTTTTATTGTTCATCATCTCATATATGTGGGTTGTTGAATCTGATATTCATCTATTATGAGCAATATTCCAAGATCTCTAACCGACTCCGCCCTCCCCCTCTTCAATCTTGCAATCTCTGCTTCTGATCCTTGGCCTTTTCCTTTCGTCTTCTTATAACCCATCAAGAAAATTCAAAAACCACTGAACCTATAAGGCAGCCCACCAAACGGCACCAGCAAATTTTTTTGGTTTCACCTCTATTTAGCATGTAAGCTTTCTCCTCCTTCTCCCTCTCCCTCTCCTTCTCCTTTCTTCAACAACCATGAAAAATCTTTTTTTTTCAAAAAAAGAAAAAAACCTGCAAGTCACCCTCCCCTGCCTTCGTCTCTTTCTCCTTCACTTACCGAAGTTTAAAAAAACCAGCAAAAGACTTGAGTTAAAGGAGTTGGAAAAAGAAAAAAAAAAAAAAAACAACAACAACAACAACACGTGTTGTTTTGTAAAGAAGCCACGTTAGCTGTTGAGGAGGAATGGCTCCTGATATATCAGGAGCCAAGCATTGTCCTTGTTTGTGTCCCCTTTTACAATTGTTTTTTTTTTTGGGAGGAAAAGGGTAGAATCGGAGAGAGAAAAGAACAAAAATGATCAAAATTGATTAAAAAGTATTGAAAAGTGAAAAAAAGTGTAAGTGGAGTCGAGAAAAAAGAGTAAAAAAATCAGCACCCTTTTTTAAATGAAAAAAAAGAGAGAGAGGTGGAGGACAAGAAGTGACGGAATGATGGTGTCTTCATTTTGGTAGATTCTCAACCCTTGTTTGTTTGTAGAGGTAATTGCATCGATCAGTAATTGAACTGAAAAAGAAAGGCAAAAAGAAGGAAAAGTCTCTAGTGCCTTTAGCTTTTGGTGTTAGGTGCCAATGCCATAATTGATGATGCAGCTTTTCACAAACCACATACGATGGCCAATTGGGTTGCTTCACCTGCCCGTCACAGCTTAAGTCATCATCATTATGATTCTGGTTCTACCTTGACTGTGTTATTTCATTATTATTTTATCTGTATTATTATGGGTGCTAATTGACTGTGTTACTTCTTTTTCATTATGTTTCGCTTGAATCAAATTTAACAAAAAGGCTTTTTGAGTGACATGGCTCTTCTTTGCATCTATCCATTACGCGTGTGTTGCTCGTGTAATTAAGTGATTTTCATAAGAGAGTTGTCATGTCTACCAAAAACTTTATCCTAAAAATGAATGCGTAATTGAGTTCAATTTAGAGGGATAGGGAGCTAAGAATCCAAATTTTTCTGATAAAACTTCACTGTATCGCTATGTCACTATGTGTCCCTTGTGTCCGTTTTCACGGTAGCTTCGCTGAAAGGGAGGAATTATCAAACAGTCAAAAGCAGCCGAAGCCTCGTTGATTAGATTTTCAAGTTTGTGGGCTCTATGAACAAGAAAGCTTGAAAAGAATTTAAAATGTAAAGGAAAAGCAAAAATCCAGCAAAAATATGAGAGAACTGAGACAAGTATGAGGGCTGTTGAAAGTCCTCAGTTTAAATTATTGTTTGTGGCTTTGCTGAGGGGACCCCACGACCCACAAACATCCATACTATTTCTAACCTAAATTAGATTCTGTCATGACTCATGTGGTCTTGTCCCTTTCTTGAAAATAATGTTACACTACTTTATGCCCTATATGCTCAATTAAATAAATTTCATCCTATTCGAATAGAGACTACACTTCTCGGCAGATGCAATCCATCCCTTTCCAAACATTCAAAATCATCACAGGAAAAACAAAAAACAAATATTCAACAATTTTTTAGGTTATTTGTACAACCTACTTTTATAAAAGGGAGATTCACTATTATACCCAATATAAGAACCCAAATTATTATTAAAAAAAACCTTATATAAAATGGTCTTTAGAAACACAACCAAAGCCCATTTACAACATAATAAAGAGGCTTTTAACATCTTATAAATTATAAAATTGCCATCAATTTTTTAAAACAAACCCAACCCCAAAACCTCGTAAAAATACCCAAAACACTTAATAGGGCATCAAAGTAATTTAATAATCAAAATTCAATTCAATAAGGCCAGCTGTCATTTTTTGGGTTTGTTTATAGAAATTAAATGATATAGGGTTTATCTATATTATTAGTACTAAAAATGGGTATATGACTAAGTATCTCTTTATAAAATAGGACCCATATGACTCTCCTTTGAATTTTATATTTTAAAGGTTATGATGATGGGAATGAAATCATTATATTCCTCATGTTTTAGTGTCATTTATACGGGTTTGTTTGGAAATGCTTTTATAAAAAGTATTTTTATTATAATAAGTACACTTTTATGATCTGTAATTGCTTTTAACTTTTTTAAAAGTATTTTTAAACTGTCTCTAAATATAAATAAGAGAATATTTTGCACTCGAGATCTTGTGTTCGACAACAGTCATCAAACATGTAATAATCTTTTTGAGTATTTAAAGAAAGGGACAATATAACATTACGAGGCATGTATGGTTGGAATTATCAACGTGTCCATAAATATTCCTTCTAACTAAGGCCCCGTTTGGTTCATGGGAAAGGAGGTTTGGGGATGGAAAATCAATTGTTTTCCTATAGTTGGTGGTAAGTCTAGGCATGAGAAATCGTTGCCTTGCACATGGAAAAGTAGGGGGGAAAGTGAAGTCTTCTTCCTCCCTTGGGTTTTGTTTACCTCCTCATGGGAAAGTTTGGAAAAATAAACCAACATTACATATGTTGGGGTCTTTTTTCGTCGGAAGGCTCGTTCGGGCTTGTTGATTCTCAGACCGCCATAGAGTGGTGGATCAAGCCTTCGTTGCCCCTTTTTCTGAGTTAGCGAGGACTAGGCCCAAAGCATCCCGAGGGAGAAGCATGTCCTAGGGGAGTACTCTGTTCTTCTTCCAGCGGTTGCGTGTTTGGTGCTGACGTTTCTGGCAGCTTGACGAAGAGTTGAAGATGACTTGCTGATGTTTCCGGCAGCTTGACGAAGAGTTAAAGATGACTTGCTGATGTTGATATGAAATTATATGAGCTTGGCATGAGAGCTTGGAGTGTGGGAGCTAAAGATCCACAAGTTTTGCAAATGAGAATGCATGTGCTTGGCTTGGTGTTGGATATGCTTGAGTTTGGGTGTTGATAATTTGTTGTTTGTAGCTATGGTGTTTATAGCTTGGAAGGAAGGGAAAGCTTGGAGTTATGCTTTGTGAGGCTCTATGGATTTAAGAGTTTCAAGAGAAGAATAATGGGAGTAAAAGCTTGAGGTTTAAAGGCTATGATGTTTATAGCTTGGAAGGAAGGAACCTAGTTTGATGGTTGCTGGGATGCTTGAGCAACCAAGAGGTGTTGGTTGATGGCTGCTGGGATACTTGCAGCAGCCAAAGGATGAAGGTTGATGGCTAGGATGGCCGATGGAACGCTTGCAGCAGCTGAAAGGAGGAAGGAAGATGAGTTCTCATGGTTGCTGAGAAGCTTGCAGCCACCAAGAGAGACTGATTTTGCCCAGCAAATGCCTCTCAATTTATAGAGGGTGAGGGTTTTTCTTTATTTCCAATAGGCAAAGAGAGGTGCTGGAACCAACCTATTTTCAATGGGTAAAAGGAAGCTCTGGGGCATGCTATTTTTCAGCAGGCGAAGTTAGGTACCAATGCCATAAACTAATTATTTCCTATGGGTAAAAGGAAGCGCTGGAAATGGCTTGTTTCTAGCGGGTAATAGGGAGTGCTGGAAAATGCTTGTTTCCAACGGGTAAAGCTAGGCATTTGGAAAATGGCTATTTCCTATGGGTAAAAGGAAGTTCTTGAAAAATATCTCATTTGCTCACTCAAATTGGAAAACTCTAAGTAATGGGCTTGGACTTTAGTGCTCCCAAGTAGCTAGCCCAAAGTCTTCATTATCTAAGAGCTTCCGTGTGCCTTGTGAAACTCCGTAACCTTCCACACCACAATCCCTCGTGCAAGCCCCGTAAACCACATGATTTGGGTTCATGTAAGCTTGGTAGGTGATTGACATATGAAAAATGTATTATTGGCTTGGTATGGCATGCACACTATTTCTATATTTATTTAATAAATTAATTCTCAGAATACAGTTTGGATTAACGCATGACCAACATTATATGTTATATTAGGCTTTAAATGTCTTTGGGCTTCCCGTGACTTTTTTGGGCCTCAACAACATACACATTTTTCATGACCATATTGTCCCAATTAACAATTTAGAATTACAATATAGCATTAAATGCATTCTTTTTTTATTTGATTTCATATTTGTATAATTAGAAAATTAAACAAACTTTGTTTTACATTTCTACACAAACCAAACACGTGAAAAAAAAAAAAAGAAGTTGGTATTTCTTGGTTATTTTCATAGGATTACCAAACATGAGAAATGACATGGGAAATAATTTTCCCTCCAATCTGTGAACCAAATGAGGCCTAATAAGTGTAAAGTAGCAAAGAGTGCAATCTCCACTGATGATGGCCAGGTTCAATGAACCTGAACACGTTACCTACTTTCCTTTTTGGTGCTGATTAGTATTTAAACCTTGTTCATCGTCGGATTACACGTCACAAACTGTGACTTTGCCTCATGCTCTTTATATGCGAGAGAGTTTTAGAGCACTGTTCATGATCAAGGCCTCGGCTGAAGCTTCTCGTTCTCAGACTGTTACTTTGCCTCAAGCTCTTTATAACTCCCTCGCCAACTTCATCTTCAACCTCTTTCCTTGATCTCCATGGTACGTACGTACTGTTAATTTAATATTTTAATTTCCTTTCTTTTTCATTTGGTTTTCTTGCTGCATATATAAATATTCATGCCAGAGCGGATTTTCTTATTGGGTTTTGTCTTTAAGTACACATTCCATCTGGGTTTTGTTGTTTACTCTTGTGTTTTATGTGATCTTACATTCGGATTGCGCCAATGGAAGAGAAGATCTGTGTAACAGTGTTAGCCTATCAGTGGAATGTTAATTTGAAGATCTGTCTTAATAATGTTTATTAGAAGCCAACTAGTTCTGGTTTTAATAAACTGAAATATTTTGTTCCTTTGTTGTCAATTATTTTATATTTTGAGTTGTTTATTATGCCATGTTTTTTAAACTTTGCCAAGAGGTAATTTGTAGAAATATTTGTCACAATGTGATCAGCAGTTTGATTGAAAATATATATGCATCTTGTTTTGTTCAGTGGAGCTGAGGATGTCACTTTGATTGAGTTTGAACAAAATGGTTTCCCTGTCCAAGATCTTGTACCCGAATTCTGGTAGCGTTCTATTTGATGAGGACATGAATGTGGCTTCATTTCAAGGCTTGTATGGTGCAATTGGCAGCCTAGTGATCATGGCATGGAACCGAAAAGCAAACATAGGTAGCCAAGAAATGCATCAATATTTGAACTTCCTTCACGTAGTTCAAGCCATGGATGTGCCTGCAGTTAGCTTGCATTATTGTTCTCGGGAACTTATCTCGACTGCAACATTCAAGCCATGCAATATTATGCTCCTCTTGTTCTGTCAGCGTGAATGGGAAGGGCGGTGGCTGCGGAGGTGGTGGTTGGAGGAGGTAATTAAGGTCAAGGAGTGTGGGCTAAAAACAGGAGATGTCAGGTTGGAGAACCCATGTGCACCATGGCTTGTTGTGCTCTTTAATATTTGGTGCCACATTTGCCAGGTAAGATAGTTCTTGGCCAAATAATATCATATGTAGTACTTGGATCTCATGGATTAATCAAATATTTGGTTTTTCATTTTGATAATGAAATAGGCTTTGGCTGAAGGACAGAAGGCAGCACTTCTGATGGTGAGCACATGCGAAGCAAGAGTTGCAGCTTGGATTCTATTCTCAGCAGCTTTTCGTCGAACACCACACCTGCATACCCATCAAGCACTCTTCCGAAAGGGTCCACGCCGATAATGATATGTACTTGATGGCTTCTATTGATGTCCTCTATGATCATGATGATAATGATTAAGATCATGATCAAAGTCCCATGGATCTTCTGGTGTGGAACACCAGGATCTCTTAAATAGTTACTCTGTTCCACTGAAGAGTTCCCCTTTACAACTTCAAGTCTTTGGTGATCATGTGTGTTTTGTTAATGCACCTGATCACACAGTCTGCCCCTATTTTGCCTGAAATATCAGGAGCAAATGTGGTGGCAGTCTTGTATATTTCCTATTATGTTATGGCTTTTGTGAGCAAGAATGATCAGTTTGATTTCGTGCTTTAATAATTTGCACAATATATTTGTGTACTTTTTAAATTCCAATGTTTAAGTGAGACAGCTTTCCTTTTGAGCTGTGAAATTCCTGCAGTTTGTACTCATAAATATTCTATCTATCTCAGTATATTGCTTCCAATAATCTCTTATTTGCAACATTCAAAATATATTTAGAGTGTTGATGATGATCTGGGAGTTTGATTTAAGGGTTTAAGAGGTGTTTTATGGTAGCTAATAGCTCTGGGCGTGGCACTGGATTTTGAATTGATTAATAATGCTTCTTACACAAAAATGATACGCTACAAAAGGATTTTTATTTTATTTTGAACGTGTCTCAATTAATTATTCCTATTTTTGTTTTAATTTATTTTTTGTAAAGACGAAGAAACAAATTTGCCCTCGGGAGAAACTAGCGATGATTAATTCCTATTTCTCGTTATCGTGGAATTCGTCATCAAGATGGATCGCCCTTACGCGAGCAACGAACTCATACTAAGGGGCCGTTTGGTTCATGGGAAAGGAGGCATAGGAATGGGAATTTAATTGCTTTCCCATGTTTGGTAAGTCCGGGAATGGGAAACGGATTCCTGGCACATGGGAAAGTAGGGGGGAAAGTGATGCCCCCCTCTTAACTTGGGTTTTGCTTTCCCTCCTCATGGGAAAGTTTGGGAAAATGTGCCAACATTCAATGCACAATTTTCATGACTATTTTGTCCCTATAAACAATTTATAATTACAACATATCATTAAATGCATTCTTTTTTTATTTGATTTAATATGGGTATAATTGGGAAATTATACAAATTTTGTTTTCCATTCCTACTCAAAACAAACATGGGAAAGGAAACAAAGTGAAATCTCCCGATTACTTTCCCAACATTACCAAACGTGGGAAAGGAATCTTTCATTCCCATTCCTTGGGAAATGACATGGGAATTGATTTCCCCTCAAATCCATTCCGTGAACCAAACGAGGCCTTAGGTCTAAGGGTTTAACAGGTGTTTGGCATCACTAAACCCTCCTCACTCTGGGCGTGGCATTGGATTTTGAATTGATTAATTATGCTTCTTGCACAAAACTTTCAGGACCAGATTCATATTCTGGCCAACTTGCCCACCATATTAACGAATATTGAACCATATTCTGGCAAACAACCCCAAAAGAAAACCATCACAACAAGGGCCTCTGTAGAGAAAGAGCACAAAACAAGGAAAAACTAAGCCCAAAACAACAAGTCCATTGCTTGTTCTGATTCTGCACTTTGACCTTGCTTAGGAGCTGAAAATATTTCTTTTTTTCTTTTTCTTATACAAGCAACATTTGGGAGGAGGGAATCGGAGACATCATGTACACGGGCGAATGCTTTTAACCGTTTGAGCTGCATAGGGGTGGGGGGGCATGTTCAATGACGGTAAAGCAGGCAGAAGCTTATAAATCCGTGTTTGTATGTTCAACAAGTCCATTGCTTGTTCTGATTCTGAACTTTGACCTTGCTTAGGTGTTGAAAAAGTATCATTTTTTGGGCAGGAGGAGGGGAATTGGATACATTATGTATATGAGTGAATGCTTTTAACCATTTGAGCTACATCATCATGGAGGAAGGGGTGTGTTCGATGACGGTAAAGCAGGCAGAAGCTTATAAATCCGTGTTTGTATTGGTGATTTCTACTCAAGCAAGCCTTGGGCCTCTGTTTGAAGAGAGGCCTCCTTTTTGGGCAAACTCTTCTAGCTTACACGGATGCAAAGAGAAGGGAAGCCAGATCACTTCTTCCTAAAGAAAACCTAAAGCAGGCAGAAGCTTATAAATCCGTGTTTGTATTTGTGATTTCTACTCAAGCAAGCCTTGGGCCTCTGTTTGAAGAGGGGCCTCCTTTTTGGGCAAACTCTTCTAGCTTACACGGATGCAAAGAGAAGGGAAGCCAGATCACTTCTTCCTAAAGAAAACCCAGTACAAATTCATGCGGCTGCTTTAGATAGTGATAAAGCTGAAAGAAGACAATTAGCACTACATTGTTCCTAGAAAGTTCATTTTATTTTCTTTGCTTCCAAACAAAAGGCAAATGGTTTAAGATTTCTGCAGTGCTTAATTAGCAATATTGAAGCTGAGTCTTAAACTTCACCAATGAGAATCTTTCATACACAAAGAAGAGAAGAGATGCATAAACAGCAAAGCTATCTATCTGCTATTGAATCTTAATTAGGCTTTCTTTTCCTTTGCTATTGGTGGGGGAAGCAAAGTCTTGAAAACCAAAGCAGCCAAAGTTGCTCCTATGAAGGGGCCAATCCAATAAACCAAGAACAGCTCCCAAGTGTTGTGCCAATTATTCACATAAGCCCAGGCAAAAGCATTTGCTGGGTTCATGGAAGGCCCTGTGTACCCACCACCTGCAACAACCAGTCCCACAGTAGCAACTGAAAGCAGCCATATCTTCAGTACTAGATTTCTAGGACCTCTGAGAATAATCACAAGCAGAGAAAAGCAGAGAACCAAAGTCAACAGCCCCTCAGCTATGACACCAGTGTACAAATCCACTTTCAAAAAAGGCCCTTTAAGCATATGCTTGTACTGCTTTGGCATCACCTGCAGAATTGCCTTGGCACCTCCTACTCCACCGGCTGCCTGAGCCGGGAAGCGGACGGCCATGGAGACGAGAGATGTGCCGGGGGTGAGGCCTGCAGCGTAGAAACTTGCAGTGGTGGAGGGATTGAAGCTGGCATCACCCAAAACCTTGCCTATCAAGCTGAAAGCTAGGATCAGAGTTGTGGCAACTATGGTGGTGATGAAGAGGCCTAGCAAAGACCCAGCTTGAACGCCAAGAAACGAGGCGATGATGACTGTGAAAACCCCCATACTTGGTGCGCTGAAAACCCACAGGGAAGTCAGAACTGCATCTCCTAGAGCTGCCTTGATCACCCCCATCTTATCTTCTTCTTCTGCTTTCTCTGCCTCACCTCTCCTAACTTCACATGTAAAACCACAGTTTTGGCTTAATGATCCTAAACGGCCTTAGGTGCTGTTTGGTCTACTTATTTTGGGGCCTACATAAATGCGGTGTGGCCTACCAATGTTGGAGAACAACATGTAAGCCAAAATCCTAGAAACAAACAAACCACATACATGCATGTCAATTATTATGGTTGGGTCTAGGTAGACGGCACCTTTTGCCATCAGAAAACCATTTCCACCAATTATTCTTCCCCCACTTGCTTACCTACCAAAAATAAGAGAAGAACACGAGCTAAACGTAACATTTTTTTTAATAGTTAATGGATTGGATGACATACCTGCGTTCGTGTTCGGTAATTATGTAATTACTGTAATGCCATTTGCTTCAAGTCTTACCCATGAAAAATATAAAATAAAATCTTGAGTCTTTGAGGACTATACATACGGGTTGTGAAAAATGTCTAATGCTTAACACTAAGGTATCCATTATTGGTGACATTATAAGGTAAAATTCATGTATGTTGTTTTTTTGGGTGTACCAGTGATAGTCTAAACTATAGTATGAGAGAGTTTCTAACACACACACACTACGACAGTGCCATGAGAGTTCGAACTTTAGATCATTAGTCTGCAAGTCAAGGTTATTTTCCACTGGGCTAGACTCCGTTGGCATGCATGCCAAGATTTGGATAAGAAAGAAACAAAGAAAATAAATGAATTTCAATTGATTCCTTACACGTAGTCATTTCAAATTCATTTCATATGTACTAAATCTAATTTATTTCAAATACATTCAAACTAATGTAATTCTTATTTTTTAAAATTAAATTTAACCTTATTGGCAAATTCAAAATTTTCTTCAAATCCCTCCATCAAGACGGAATCTAATACTTTTCTCTTCATCAATATAATCACGTGATTATGATTGATTATAACGTATTTTCATAATCAAACACTCTTGATTACCTCGGTAGAATAGAATGTCGTTGTCGTTTTCCCAAAAGAATTCAGAGTTGCATAGTCGCAAGACTCATGTGCAATTTCGTCGCCAACATCTACCAACCATCTTTATTAGCTTGGGCTAGTATATCTTCCTCTACATAACTACTTGGCCCGAAAACCCAAAACTAGAAAGAGGATAATTGAAAGCCCACCACCCCTAGTTATGAACTGTTTTTTTTTTCTTTTGGTGTGACCATAAAATGGTGTTATTGTTGGTTTATAAGTGTATATGCTGAAATGTTATAAGAACTAAGAGTTAAATTTAGTTTAAATGTCAGCTCTTGGATTATAGTCCAAGTGTGTAGCTAAGATGTAATCTTAGAGTAAGTGATAGTTTGTGCCATATGTCACTATTTTATAGGGTAGGTGAATGGATGGCTAGATTTGAATGATGTAATGAAGGAATATGCTATTTCCAACGGTTACATGTTCACAGGGTGCGTTTGAATGAAAGCAAGTAATTCATTTACTTCTTCTTCAAGCTCTCTCTCTCTCTCTGAAATCTCTCTCTCTTGAAACTTTCATCTTCTTAAGATTTCTAGCTCCATTGTTTGTAGATTTGAACCTTACATATAGGATAACAGTCTGTGTATGCTAACATGGTATCAGAGCCAGGTTGGATCAACTGATACTGGGCGTTTGGATCTGTGAAAGAGCTACCGAGAAACTCGAAATTGAGCTCGAGTTTTTGTGATCTAGTCTAACATGGCTGGGTCAGGTAGTGGCGAGTTGAAAGTGCCGATCTTCAACGGCGATAACTATGAATTTTGGGGTATAAGGATGAAAACCATCTTCAAGTTTCATGGGTTGTGGGATTTTGTTGAAAAAGGGTTTGACAACACATATTTGAAGAAGGCTGATGAATCCGATGCAAAGAAGAAAGAAAAAGAAGAATCAAGTGGTGTTAGGAAGATGACTCTCACAGAGGTACTCATGAAGGATGCTAAGGCTCTGGGACTAATTCAGGGAGCAGTTTCAGATGAGATATTTCCTAGAATCTCTCATGAAGAAACCTCAAAAGGCGCATGGAACATTCTACAGAAAGAATACCATGGTGATAAACATGTTAGAAGTGTTAAATTACAAGGTCTTC